CTCTACACGTAAAGTTTGCAAATTTATGTGAGGAGTAGGCTTGGGAAGGATAGATCTACAGTTTGGAGTCCATGCATGACTCAAAAGTCCTCTTCATGTAAGGAGATCTGAATGGACTCGACGAGTCCTTTGAGTGGACTCAGCGAGTAGCATGAAGAGTAGCAGCAACTCGACGAGTGGAATGAACAGCTCGTCGAGTCAGATGAAGATTGCCTTGTACTCGACAAGTCTGTTCTTGGACTCGGCAAGTCAGGTTTCGAAACCCCAAACCGTTCGATTTGAGACTCGAATCAGTGAGTCGAGTGGAGACTCGGTGAGTTGGGCAGGTCAGGACTCAGAAATCGGTAGACTCAACGAGTCATGGACTGACTCGGCGAGTTAAGACGCGAAAAGAAGGACTTTGAATATATGAACTCGGCGAGTAGGGTTGACCTGGGAGGTTGACCTTGACCAGGACTTTGACTTTGACCAGAGTTGTCTTGGTTGTCTCTTGGGGGTTAGTTAGACTCAGTGTTGCTTTGATATTGGAAGTTCGGGGAGCAAGGGGAGCAGGAGTTTAGAGAGTGGCCGGGCAGTAGCTAGTGAGATCATCAACAAGTTCAGCCAGTGCAGGTGAGTTTCCCTTTATGTGAATGGGTCTAAGGCCACAATGCGGCCCATGTAGTTATGAGTAGAAGGCTCAGGGGTTAGCCCTAGGCACAGTATGCTAGTATGATATTCAGGACGAGGTCCATTAATAGCGGGCAGGTGCCCAAGGATTGTTTATATGATAGTTTATACTTGTTGTCTGTGTGATACATGTATGTGCCTGGTAGGGAGGTGAGTGTGGGCGAGGTCCCGTATCTCACCAATAGTAGAGTGTAGATGGGGTTCCACATCTCATTAGTAGTAGTTAAGGGGCGAGGCCCAAGTTAGGGAAGGAGTGAGAGTGGGTTGGGCCCGTATCTCACTACCAGTAGGAGCGTGGACGGGGTTCCATGACTCATCAGTAGCAGGACAAGGGCGAGGCCCAGGATAGGCGAGGCCTTAGGATAGGATCAGTCGTATGAGTTTAGCTTATGTGTTGTCATATGTTTATGTGTTATTATTTGTTGGCGGGCGAGGCCTAAGTGAAACAGATCTGTATCCGAGCGGGGCTCGAAGCCAGGTGGGGCCTGGAGCAGCGGGGCCGTTATAGCGGGCGAGGCCCAAGATAGCGGGCATGGCCCAGTATGTGCAGTATGTGATGATGCATGGTATGTGGTAGGGTGTGGAACTCACTAAGCTTCGTGCTTACGGTTTTCAGTTTTGGTTTCAGGTACTTCCAGTAGCGGAGGGAAGAGCTCTGGGTGATCGCATGGCACACACCATAGATTAGACAGTCTGGGAATGTTTACTCTGATAACGAACATGTGTTTTGAAAATTAATACTCTGATTATGTTTTGGAATGATGACTTTGCTTAAAGTAATGTTTTATTGAAAGAAATTTTTGGTCTTGAATTTGGGTCGTTACAAGTAGTACAGGCCCAATACTACTTTCCACACCCCATTTGTAGTCATCCCAAGTCCTCCTCCTAAGATTCTAATTCACAAATACTCTATATCTCACAGATCACAATTTACTCTCTCAATAGACCCCTACTAAAATCATCTAAGCATCTCTTCCTAGATAATCTCCTGACTTAGAACTCAACACATACTCAAGTAAATAATAGCTAACATTGATCAAAAGCATTCCCTAGGCTAAGGCATCATAAATCAGGCAACTCTAGCCCTAGAATATGAAATACCTAGCCTACCCTCTAGAATGAAATTCTAGTAAACTATCTCATAAGTATTGCATAACACAAAAGTAAGGTATTTTGGGAAATCACCGTTCGGGCTCTGGCTGATTGTATACACCGCTCCAGCTCGTTTTCTCTTAAAACTCTTTCTCATTTTAGAAAAATCATTTCTGTTGAAAAATCCTCTCAAATCCTCATTTTGAGTCCAAACTGAAGCGACCCAAAATACGACCCAAAATGCCTTACTTTTGTGTTATGCAATAGTTATGAGATAATCACATCATCGAACATAATACATAATAAGAACCATGGAATAAGTAACACAAAAGTCATAGTAACTGTGTCAAAACAAAACCTATATCAATCATATCAAAATACCTGAATAAAACTCCCAGTATAAAACTGAAGCGGTGGTTTGTGCGATGCCATCAACCCGAGCTCTTCCCTTCTCTAGCGGGAATACCTAAAACCAAAAACTGAAACTGTAAGCACGAAGCTTAGTGAGCTCCCCTAAACTACCACATAACATACAATAACATATAAACAACTATTGGGCCTTGCCCACTACATCGTACCGAAGTCTGGAACTAACCAGGGCCTTGCCCTGTGCAACAGACCGAAGTCTGGAAACTACATCGGACCGAAGTCTGGACCTGACTGGGACCTCGTCCCCTGCATCGGACCGAAGTCCGGAACTAACTGTATCGGATCGAAGTCCAGAACTAACTGGGACCTTGTCCCCTGCATCGGACCGAAGTCCAGAAACTGACTGAACATAGCATATCATAAACATATCAACTAGCATGAAAACATATACTGCATACTGCATTGGACCAGAGTCCGGAACACATAATACAAGACTTTTGTCACACCTCGCTAACGCGGAAACATGAGGTGTGGTAGTATAAAGGGTTTCATAACAAAAGTTAAAAGACAACACCAACCATAGTATTAAAAATCATAAAAAATTTACAATAAGTTTGCACAACTTTTTAAAAGAAATTACAATGTATTTAAAAGTCAACACATGCAAATGCTCCTAAGCTTTATACTTGGCAATATGTTTATTGTATGGCATGTAGTATGCTGGAGGAACTCACTAATCTTTATGCTTACGGTTTTCAATTTTGGTTTCAGGTACCTCTTCTTCAAAAGAAAAGGAGCCGACATGATCGCAACACATCACACCATGATTTCCGCACATGAGATCTTTAAGAGTTATACTCTGATGTTGTTTCATTATGATATGTTTTGATTATTGGCACATTGGTTTTGATATGGGTTGACACAATGGATGTTTTTATACTACTGGTTTTTGTTATTACTTCATTAAAAATGAAATTTCTGGTCTTAAATTTTGGGATGTTACAATTTATTCTTATAAAAAATCATATAGGTCATAGAATCCAATATAATTTCATCTTCTATTGCAATATCCCCAATGTGGGTTTTCTCGGGTTCATGAGGGTTTTCACCCAAATCATCCAATCCATTAATATAGTGATTGGTTAGAGGTTGGAATCATCAAAACTACTTAAGGAATGTTAGAAAACCAAACCCTAACAATCATGACAAGCTAAAATCGATATTAGGGTTAAACCCACTTCACAAATTCAAATTTCTAGGTTAAGTGTGAAGAGAATCTACCTTATAAGCCTTTCTTCATTCTCTTCTTTGCTTGATTGTTTAATTCCCCTCATGAATCAAACCCTTGATGGGAAGAAAATCAAGAATCGCCATTAAAGAAGTCTCTTGGATGCAAAACACGATCTGAAGAGAATAGAGATGAAAGTGTGCCTCTTATTTCCTAACTCATTCACCTTTGGCCCCTTAAGTTTGCTTATTTTGTTAATTTCCACCCTAAACTCATATTTGGTGTTTTTAACATTAGTTTTGACATATAGGGTCCTCCTTCGTCCATTTCTATAACTTTGGTAGTCTTTTCCACTAACTGAGTCAACCCTTTGGTCAACTCACTTTGCCAATTTGACACTTTTGGACCTTAAACTTTTAATATGTTATTATTTTCACTTTTACATTTGTAAACTTCATACCAATTAATGATATGATTAACCTATAATTATTTAATTATATAAATCATATTTCACTTATTTACTTTATTAATTTAAGAACCTAGTATTAAATTTTAGGATTTTACAATTAATACAAGATTTAATCGACTTCTTTAAAATTTTACAAATGGTCCTTAGGCAAAGTTTCACAAAATGACATAAATGGTCCTTATTCAAGATTCCTTAATTTAACGAATCCATCTAAAAGACATCCATCAAAAAGACCACTAGAGTGCAAAGTTTTGTCCAAAGAGGCCATTCAAGTAAAAAAAAAAAGGTTTCATAAGGATTATTTTGGGAACAAAATCATAAGTATAAGTATAAGGACCATATGTGAAAATTTGTCTTTCATTTATGATAAAATCAAAATGATTACAATATCTTTTTGATGTTTTATCTGGAAAACAATCACTGAGTGGATATTTCCAAAGTTTAATCGAGGTGACATGTTAATGAAGAGCAACTAAATATCAACGAACTTTCTTACGAGAACCTCATTAATTAATTTGTAAAAGTTGAGATAAGACGATCCACCAATAACAACGGCTTTTTCGGCTTCCTTCTTCCACTCCAAAGCCCTAATATTCATCATCTTCCCTTTCTTCCCATCCATCATCTCCCTCACCTAAGCCTCCACCCCCCCTCTTAACATTTGTATCAATTTCCATTCCAATCCCCCACTCTACACAACTATATCGACAATTTGTTTGTTGCTCTGCAAAAAATGGCTAACAAATAACTGGAACACCACTGCCAATACTCTCAATAGTCGAGTTCCATCCACTGTGAGTCAAGAATCCCCCGATTGATGGATGCTTCAAAACCTTCACATGCAGATCAATAAAGAAGCTTATCAATGTCATGATTAGGAAATAACAATGAATCATAGTCACAATCAAACAACGATACATAAAGTACCTGTTCTTGAGGACACCAACTAGTCACCAAGCCTCTCTTTGTTGTCTCATGGACAAACTCTGGTGGCATCAAGGCCTCTTTGCCTCCGACAATGTCTGGCCTGGTTATCCATAGGAAATTCTTCTTGCTATTAGCAAGTCCCCACCCAAACTCGATGAGTTGTTCTTTTGTCATTACTGTAATACTTCCAAAGTTCACGTAAACAACAGATCCGGGATCTTTTGTATCTAGCCACTTGATGCATGTCTAATCTTCTTTCGAAAGATTGGATCCTATGTTTTTAAGTCGATCATCGTGAATATGTTGTTGCATCAAGTGTAGTGGGCCTATGGTGAAGGTTTGTGGGTTTATTGCAATTAAGGGGTTAACACTATCTTGTTCTAAGGCATCAAATGTGTTGAGCACAATAGTGGCGCCTCTAGGGAGATTCTCTACCTCGGTCATAAGATAGGTGAACAAGATGTCATTTATGTCTGTGGTTCGAATGAAGCTCGGTAAGTCCCATAGTCGGATGTTATTCATTCCAGGAATCCAATCCAAGCTTGTTTCCAAATACCCATTTGCCATGTCGCTCATATCTGGAACATTTAGTTAATTACAATATATAGTACATGTAAAGTTACATTCACATAGTGGTAACTTATTAGAGCATCACAATAAATAGTTTAACCACATGGTTGAATGGGGTGAAATACTATAGTTGGTAAATGGATTGGATGCTAAGTTAATATTCGATCTAAACCTTTTAGTTCTTTTACAATATGTCTTTTTTGAACTTTGCATGGTTTAATTGATAGTAGAAATTAAATAGTAAAGTTCTATTAAAAAAACAAATACTGTGTAACACGGCATTAAAATTTATAGATATCAATTAACTTAATTTGGATACCCTTTCTTATTATATTCAAAAAATAAATACATAAATAAACATCACATGATTAGGATTTAATATTTAATTAAATCCAAATGATATCGTTGCCTGAAAAAATATATTCATTGAAATGGCTAAAGCTTTAAACTAATACCGCAGAAAATTCCACACGCAATGCGACAAATAATGCCAACTTAACATCTCCGTTTATGTTGGATCAGATCATGAAATACTTAATTTATTACAGTAAAAAATTAAATGACTTTATTGAAAACGGAGCTGATCATAGTGCCACAAAGATGGTTTGTGGAAATTACTAAAACTAAGAGAACAAGTAGAATAAGAACAACAAATATAAATATTACCTTTGAGGGGAATATACCCCCTCTGAACAAGTTCACGATAGTGAGTGTAACCCAAAAGCCCGCAAGCACTTGGCGTCCAGAACAATACTTCGGGCAACCCAAACCTGTCGGCAGCTGAAAGAGTAAAGCTCATGCACCCATCAGATATAATACATGTCACTGGTGGCACATCGGAATCCTCGCCACCATTAAGGTTAGTGATCAGCTCACAGAGAGGCTCCAAACTGTGGTTAGGAAGGGATTCAAAGAGGGCGGGGATTGACTGTGTGGTATCAACATCAGATGGCGGAAGGCCATCAGGGATAGAGTAGAAACGAAAATCCGGCAGACCATCAAGGGTAGAAGGACCTCGAGATCGTAGCAGGCGCTTATGGTTGTAATGGGTGTTGACAAAGGAGATATGGAAGCCCTTAAAGTGAAGGAGTATGGCAAGTTTCATCATGGGATTGATGTGGCCTTGTGCTGGATAGGGGATACAAATGGCATGTGGCTTTTCCATTGCTGCAATGGTACCCACCTGATGCAATGCTTTTTTGTGTTTACTGTTTAGTGAAGGGGAGGGAAAGAGTGTTGTTGGAATTTATAGGAGGTAAGGAGGCTCATGAATAAGGGCAAAAACGGAAGTTTTGCTTTAAAGTTTGGCATACTTTAATGGGATCCCTAGTTTAATCTAACACCTCGTTCAGATATTATTATAAAATGCAAAAAACCCACGTTGTCGTTTTGGAAAAGTTAATTTTTAATTATTTCACCCGCAATTATTATGTATGTTTTTCAACTATTTAACTTCATTAAAGTATTATGTCTTTGTGGTTTGTAAAAACTTTTGGATGGGGTCTAAAAAGTTTTCAATTTGCACTGAATGTCCATAAATAAGGTTTTCATGGGATTTTAGTCCATTTCGTCTCAGTCAGTTTGTTTGGAGGGTTAGGGTCATCACGTGCCCTCTATGTGAGGGCATTTTGGTCATTTTGCTTCCCAGCCTCCGTTGCCGCCACTTATCAATCAAGACGCAAAAACCCTAACCATTGGACTACGAGCATTAGGTAATGAAGACGATGTGTGTAATCTCTCAGGATATGTTACTCATAACAAAATGATTAAAGTGTACACAGAGCATGATCAAATGAACTTGCATACACATTTTATGTCCCCAAATGGTCCAAGAAGGGTTATAATAGAAGACATGGACAATCAGGATCCTCATAGACCCTCATCACTTGTAGTTGCTCATAAAGTGGTAACTCCAATCCAAATTGATGTTGGTGAGGGTGATTTAGGTTTAGCATTAACCTTATACAAATCATCAACACCTGAATTTAGTAGGTCTAAAGGTTGGAAACATAGTAAAGGGGCATCATCTTGTAGTAGAAAACTTAACTTGGATTGGGAAGGTGGTGAAAAAACAATGGCAAGTGGTAAAGTTGATAAAGGTAAGGGTGTTAAGCCATTGCATCCTGGATTTCTTGTACTTGGTGCAGAAAAAGAGTTAAACAAAGAGATTGATGTGAGTGAAGAACTTGACATGAACAAATCCAATGGTGGGGTGTAGAAGGATTTACAAATGAGGGGTACAGAGTTGTCATGGATAATGATCCTCAAGGAGTCAATGAATTTTCAACTAACATCAACATAGACGATGAGTTAACGACAAACTTTCAAACTTTTGAAGGGTTTGAAGAACAAGATAGCATCCCATTTAATGGGTTTGAAGGCCAAGAAAATATTCCTTTCAATGATGAGTGGAGACAAGAGGAGCCTGATGACCTTGAGTTTGAGAATCAAAACAATGAAGATGAAGATAGTGACTTTATGATTGATGAAGACAATTGTTGGGTGTTAAGTGTTGCATCATTGGGCTGTTTTGTATTTAGTCCAATATGTATATAGTTTGGGCCTGTCCAGCCGTCTTATAATTAGGGTTTATGTATATATAGTGCATGCATGCACTGTAGTATATTAACATTTTTATCTTTGGAAATTGTTTGTAAACCCTAGTAAGCCTCTACAATTGAAATTCTTCATCGAGTTTAGATGAGGTGGGACTTTTAATCCTTCAGCATCTGTTTGATCATCTTTGTGTTAATTACATACCTGTTTGAATCTTTTGATCTTTAAGATTTTATTCTCTACAATTGGTATCAGAGCATGAGACTGTATAATCTATACACATCTCTTATGTTATAAGAAGCTATTAGGGTTCCGCTGATATTAGATCTTTTTCAGTCGTCATCCCTGTGTTCTTGATGCTATAATGGGATATCAATATTACCCTAAGTTTTTACACATCTAATTCTGAAACAGGTTTCGAATATCTTGTTAAAATGTCGCATGATGACTCGCAAATTAATTCCAATAGCAATATTGGATCTACAACAAGGATTCCTATTCTCTTTCACAAGGATTATGAAGTCTGGGCCCTTCACTTTGAAGATTATGTCCTAGGTTTAGAAGATAATGGTTACTTGATCTGGCAAGCCATTACTATTGGAGCTTTTGTTCATTTTGGAACAGGAAGAGTGATTAAAACCCAGACCGACCTCAATCGAATTCTTCTTGATGTCAAAGAAGTTCCTCAAGATGAGAGAGACAAGCTACAGAGCAACATTAAAGCAATGAGAATCATTAGATTCACATTGCAGGATAATACGTTTCGTCTTGTGAGTTCCTATGATACTGCCAAATCCATATGCGACCGGCTTAAAGAGCTTTATTCGACAGACGCAGATCTGGATCATTCTACTCAAACGCTCTTGTTGTCTGAATTTGGTGCTTTCGCACAAAAGGCTGATGAAAATATGAGTTAAACGTTTAATCGCTACAATCATCTTATGAGTAGGATGATGGAGCACATGATTGGAAGAGAAATCATCGAGCAGAAGGTAACATTCATGAATGGATTAAGGTCGGAATGGATGGAAGCGGTTTCAACAGTGAAAGCTCACGAGTAGTTCAGAAATTACACCTTGGAAAAGCTCGTAGGGATCTTGAAGTCACACGAAAGTGAAGTGACTAAAGAAACGAAAGTTGTGTTTGGCATGGGTACGTTGGCTCTAGTTGCAAAAGGAAAGCAAGTTGCGGATGACGATGTTAAGTCTAACCTTTCTGACTGTGAACTCACAAATGAAGAGTTTGCTCTAATGTTGTCGAATCCTAGGAGATTCGCATAGAAAAAATCTACTTCTAGCAAAAACCGAAATTGGCAAGGAAGTTCTAGTTCAGAAAAGGTGAAAGAAGATAAAGTGAATAGCTTCCAAAAGGAAGAAGATAAGAAAGAGAAAAAGTCTGCAGGTGATTCAGGATATGATTGCAACTATTGTCACTGCAAGAATCATTTAGCAAAGGAATGCATGCGGAGGAGCATGAACGAGAAGAAGGATGGAGAGGATGATGAGGCATACCATCTTCACAAGCTTGAGGAAATCAAGCAGAAAAAAGAAAGCTGATAATGCTATGCCTGCTTTGGTTGTGCAGGGAAATAATGATGAAGATGAGTTTGGTGGAGTGGAAGTGTGGTCCACTGATACAGGTGGAAAATGGTTTGTGGTGACAAATGGCGTGTCATAAATGCGAGGGTATGCTATAGATGAAGGACAAAGATAAGCGAATGGAAAAAGGGATTACAACTGCTTCGCTACGAAGCCAATTCTTACACAAATCTGTGAATGTGATCAGCTGATTAATAAGGTACATTAAATTCTTGAATCTCTTAATGTTCCCATATCAAATTATGAAACTAAATTAAATGACTTAAAATTCACATTTTCAAGTATAAGTGATAGTTTAAAGCAAACACGCCTATCAAATTCTAACCTAAACGATCAAATCATCATGGTGTCATCAAAACGTGAGGAGCGGAGAATGTGGATTGAGAAGATTGAGTCTGAGCTTTCTAGGTCTAGGGATGAGTCTATTTATTTACAAAGAGACAATTTGAAGCTTTTGAAACAACGTAAAATTTTTTGTTTAATTGCTAAGAGGCTTTATTTTAATATCACTCAATTACATTTGGATTGTGAAATTGGTAAGAAAATTCATAAAATGATCTTGCCATTTTTGGAATTAAAAGAAGATGAAATTGATACTGATTGTTTTCAATGTGAATCTATCGTGTCATCAGATGAAACTTCAAAGGCTTATAAAATTGGTCTTGACAAAATTGAATCAGATATTCAGTCCAAAGACTATATATCATGCTGAGACAATTACTCGATGAAAATGATCGGTTAAAGATCAAAACCGAAACTGTACAGAAATTTGATTCATTGAGTTCGAAATTAGGTTCAGACAATAAATTAAATGTTGAAAATATTCTCGAATTCGATGAGGACAGTGAGATGAGTGAAATACCTGTAGAAAATGAGGTTGACTGTTCGCAATTCCTTAAAAGCGAACATGAAAAAGCAAAAGTTCTCATTTCAGAAAATTCAGTTGAATTCGCACATCTTTCTCAAAGTAATCTAAAAGTTCTAAAGGAAAATGTGATTGTCTTTCCAAAGGTCCAAACGATACCTAACCAAGTCTCCGCAGTCAATGGTGTAACTAAATGTCAAACAGTTGAACTAACACACTTAATTGAAACCGATAATGTTGATGCTGTTGGATTAGTGTCTAAGTCCATAACTATTTTGGTATGTACTTGACTCGATGGTGCATGGTCCTTTTGGGTTGCCTTCACCAAAGCAACTTGATAGGATGAATTATGGAGAGAAAGGATTAAATATGAGTTATTAATATATTATGAGAATAATATATTAAAGGAGAAATCATATTGTTTAATTAATACTAGTCAAGAATTAATTGGTAATTAGTTTTGTGACTAAAAGAGATTAATTAAACTAAAGGTATTGGAATTGTAATTATAAGATAATTGCAATTTGGGCTATGGATTGCCTTATATTAAGGAGTGGATGAATGCTATGGGAAAGCCCATGAGGAAATCGTCCAAGGCCTTAAGGAAAGGAATCTATGGGTTGCTTAGGGCTTAAGCATCCAATTTAGGGTTTCCTTGTTAGATAACCCTAATAGCCTCCTATATATATATATATATATATATATATATATATATATATATATATATATATATATATATATATATATATATATATATATATATATATATATAGATCCCTTATGACCCAAAAACGTGGCTAAGCATCCTTCTAGGGTTTCACACATTTTAGGGCAGCCTCCATCCTCTCCCCTCTTCATCCTCTTCCTCTTGGTGTTTGTGAACCATTAGAGGAGTGAAATTTGTGACTCTAAGCTTTCTAAAGTCAATACAAGGAGGAATTGGATTGTTATTGCTACATAACAATCAAGGTAATGTCTTAAACCCATTCTTATATTAATATGATTACTTGTATGCTAGAATTAGGGTTTATAGTCTTGGATAATCTGCATGTACAATAGAGAAACCTAGATCCAAGCATTAGGGTTTGTATGAGCACATAGGATGTTCTTATGACCAAAACCCATCAGTGGTATCAGAGCCTAGATTGGTTTCTATTGTATTGATGCTTTGTTTGTTTGTTCAAGCTTAAAAAATCGAAATTTTGGGATTCTGGGGCTGAACTCGCCGAGTCTGTAGATGAACTCGCCGAGTCCATGCTGACTCGACGAGTCCATGCCTGACTCGACGAGTCAGTTGGTCAGAAAGAGGAAAAAACGGGAT